TTAAAGACCTGAAATATTTCAGTTGGTGTGCAATGAATCTGAAATATATGAAAGTTTCATTTTTATCATTACATTATGGAAAATAATGACCTTTATCACAATATGCTAATTTTTTGAGAAGGACCTGTATGATCAGTTTTCACTAAACACCAAGACTGGGCAGCTGTGGATGAGTGGCTAGAGCAGTCGTCCTCCAATGCAAGAGTTGGGGGTTCGAATCCACCAGTAGTCACATGCCAAAGTGTCCCTAGGCAAGACACTTGAACCCCTCATAACCTCCGATGTGTGCATGAATGTGATCTAATGCACTGATTAGTATTTTTAGAATGATTTGTTCAATTAGATTAGTACAGCTCTAGTAGAGTGCTGTGTGAATGGGTACATGAGGGCACGGATTGTGTTGTAAAGCACTTTGAGTAGCTTGATTAGATAAAAAGGTGCAATACAAGTACAGACCATTTACCAAAATCTGACTTCATTTTAAGTTAAATATAGGCCTCTAGAAAAAAAACCTGAATTAGCTGTAAAAAGACTTTTTCCCTATTCTAAATTACTGGTAAATGATATTCCTTTTGACTTCATTGAAGTTTGTAGCTGTGTCCCTTCTTAGCCTATAAGCTGCTCTTGCATGTTTCTTTTACACGGAGTGAGTGAATACACCCCACAAGAGGAGTCTGGTTCTGCTGGAGTTTCAGTCTTAGTTGAAGGGATCGTTTTCTTCTCCACTGTCATTTGTGCAGGAAAAAAAAAAACATTTTGTGTGAGTGAATTGGTAATATATAAATACATGAACAAAATGTAAGCTTTTCTTTACATGACACATTTTGTGATCTCTTGACAGCGAATAAAAGGCGTTTGTACTCCTAGATATTTGACTCGGTTCAACCTTTATTTTTCTTCTGTCACCGATTACACTGAGCACAAATTTAAGAATTAGACCAAGCAAGCCAGCTCAACTACGAACAAATGACGGATATGCTAATCACACGGTCTGTGTGCAGTAGTAAACAACATCGCTAGCTGCTAGCAAGTAGCCTCTGCTGCTAGCAGCCAATTCGTTTAACAGCTTCAACATTTTACAGACTTAAATGTGCATTGTTATACAACACAGTTCTATTTCGTATAAGCTTCGCCCTTTAAGTCTGTCGCTGATGGGTTTATCCCGATATGCGTAGCATTGCACTGATTTTTTTGTTTATTTAAGTGACAGGTAAGAGCTTGAAGTAGTCAAAGCACTTGGCTGAGTTTAGTGAGTTCAGTTCGACTGGTTAGCGTGATGAAGAGCCGCTGTTAGCTCCCCTCAGCTGTGTCTCTGTCGGTGAAAACAGGTGTACGAGTGGTGGATGTACCTGAAATTCCGCGCGTTGGTAAATTTCTCTTGTAATCAAAGGGAGCGTAGCCTCCCTTAGGAGGCATGTCCTGTTTCACCTTGGAGGCCGACATCTTTCTCAGAGCAGGCCCCCTCCACTGCAGCCTGTTGTGACGTCACCCAGGGAGACTTCTTCTTTGGGTCTAGATTTTATGACGCACTACAGCGCCCCCAGAAGTCCGGATATGGTATTTTAATGCACACCCAAGACTCGTTCTCTAAGCTCTTTACATTTTATCATCAAAATAATTCACAAAACCTAATAAATTCGTATTTTTTTTACAGACTGTTAAAATATATTAGCTTGAGTGACTAGTGGTATTGAATGGTCATTTTAATTAGACGTTACCGAGAACATCCTTTTGCTTTTCCCAGGGGTCAAAACAGTGAGTCATCCTCCTCCATCTCGCTCTGTCCTCTGCATTCTCACTCCAACTACATCCATGTCCTCTCTCACTGTATCCATATAGCTCCTTTGTTTTTTCCTGGCAGCTGCATTTCTAAGATCTAACATCACCCACTGTCCCTCTTCTGGACAAGTCCAAACCATCTCAGTCTGGCCTTTCTAACTTTATCTCCCAGTTGTTCAACCTGTAATGATCTCCAGCGATGTTCAGTCAGGTCATCTGAATGTTGTTGTTATTTTCCTCCAGAAAAAAGAAACCTCCAGATGATCTGACTGAACATTATACCTGGATTATTGAGCATGAACTTTGGTCTCTGATGATCTCATTCCTAATCTTACCCATTCTTGCCACTCCTAAGGAGAACCTCGACATCTTCATTTCTGCCACTTCCAGTTCTTTTTCCTATCTTTTTGTCAATGCCTTCGTCTCCAGAAGGCATCGTCCTGCTCATTTGTGACCTCTGCTCCTTGTATCCTCACTGTTCCATCGCTCTCCCTCTCATTCACACACATGTACTCTGTCTTACTATGGCTGATATTCATTCCTCTTTTTTCAAGTGCATACCTCTACCTCTCCAAGTTCTCTTCCACCTGTTCCCACCACAGATCACGTCATCTGCAAACATCAATGTCCACGGGGATTCCTGCCTGACCTCATCTGTTAATGAAAACATGTTGAGACGTTAACAATACTTTTTCATCTTATTCCATCCATCCATCTTCTGTCACCTATCAGTGGTCTGGTCACAAAAGCAACAGGTTCAGGAGAGAAGCCCAGACATCCCACTCCTCAGTAACTCCACAACTTCTCCTTGGTATCACTTGGCATTTCTAGTCCAGAGAGAATATGAGGCATAAACCAGCCACTAGGGAGTACAAGCTAGTGTATCTTGTTCTCACATATTTAGGGTCCACTGTTCAGGAAATTGTAGAATGTGGTAAAGAGGTGAATAAGTTTCAGGAGTGATTTGTGACTAAAAGCAAAGCCAAAATGTTAAGACAGGTTACGATGATGGAGTCCATGGCATTGACAAAAAGACAGGAGAAAATAACTGGAAGTGGCAGATAATGAGGAGGTTCTCTTTGGGAGTGACATTGATGGAGAAGATTCGGAATGAGATCATCAGAGGAAGACAGTTAAGAGTGGGCAGGCCAAGATGGTTTGGACATGTCCAGAAGAGGGACAGTGGGAAGGATGCTAGAAAAACAGCTGACTCAACAAAAAACAAAAAATAAGGTACAAAGATATATGGATGGAGGTAGGTGGAGTGAGATGGACGAAGACTCACTGAGGTGACTCCTGAAGAATGAACTGAAAGAAGACTGAGGTTTTACAGTACAAATCTGGATCTGGCTCAGGGCTTCCTCTTTGTGGGGTGTGTCCAGAAAACCTCCAAAGGGAAGCGTCTTAATCAGATGCCCGAACCACCTTAACTGACTCCTTTCAATGTGGAAGAGCAGCGGCTAAACTTTGAACTCCCCTTATTTCTAAAGCTTAGCCTGACCACCCAGAGAAGTGATCATTGCAGCAACTTGCATCCAGTATCTCATGCATGTGATCGTAGGTGAGGAGCGGATCATACAGACCTGCATCCAGAGCTTTGTCCTTTGACTCAACTCCTTTATTACAACAGGCCAAAGAAACATCCTCCTTGAAGAACAAAGCCCCAGTCTTTCAATCCATCTACCGTTCCATGCTACCATTACTCATGAAGACCCCATATACTTTGACTCCTCTGCTCTAGGCAGACTCTTCTCTAACCTGGTCAGAGCATCGCGCCGTTTTTGGGTTGAGAATAATGACATCTAAAACATAGGAGGTAACTTATCCAAGGATACCCAGATTTTTTGTTTTATGAAGAGTTAAACGCTCACTGGTGAGAGGTCCAGACAGCAGGCAGGCCAGTTCAGCACCTACATTATTCTATTACGAAGCCATGCTGTCATAATGAATGCTAGCACCGTCTTGGTGAAATATGCAGGCCTGCTCTGAAAAAGAGGTCACGTTAATGGGAACACGTTTTAAAATTTGTATACACATTGCTTTTTGGATTGTGCCTTTTTCCAGATGTGTAACCTGTCCATACCAGAGGCACTGATGCATCCTCATACCATCAGAGAGGCCAGTTTTTGAACTGATAACGGGCATTACGTTCAGCATCTTATGCAAATATCTATATACCGGTACATTTTCCCCTAAAAAACAGTGGGAATGCAGACAATCCAAAGCAGAGTTTGGTTTCTCTACTTGGTTTTGCTTCACTAAATCACTAACTCTGGTATTCATGCCTCCACATAAACTAGCTGCAAAATAAACTTGGGACTGTGTACAAACATATTGAAGATGTGCAACAGACAGATGTGAAAATAAAAAGGCTTAAAAAAAAACAAAATCTGTTTTGCCGTTTGTTCTTGAAAACCTTTTACCTCGACTTGTTTTGCTTTGTTCGAACTGAATAATGGCATAATAATGTGTCGAAATTTAGCAGCTCTATAAAAAGCATTAAGATTATTTAGGTTAAACTGGCAGCATCGCATTGAAAACATTTGATTACAAGTAAAATCTGTGCATTTTGTCAGCAGTATAAAATTTTAGAGTTAACTAAAATAATGCAACTTTTTTATACTTTAAGCGAATTGTATTGAACCAGTCAAGTTTTTTTTTAAGTTATAGGATTATATGTTGAACAAAAACAAAGTTTAGCTCTTGAAATTTCCCTACAGTATCTGTCAGGTTACAAACACGCAGCTGCCAGTCAGATGGCTGTTTATCATCTTAACCATCTTTTGATCCATTAATAGTTTATAATAATTTAGCCTTCTGTGTTTACTTGTTTTTTTTTTTTTTAGTACATCATTAAAACCATGGTCTTGATACACAATAAAAAAACCACTCAAATCTTCATCAAAATTTGTCATGACAGTATAATTAGGAGTCGATTGTTCCAAGATTAATTTAATAAAGCCCACGAGCAAGAAATGAAAGCAGATATTTAAAATTTATATATTTTTTTATTATTTCTTTAGGAGCTAGGAAAAAGTAAACCAAATAAAGTTTAACATAACGTTGACAATGTAATTAAGATTATTGGAAAGCAGTGAAATTATGCAACATGGTGAGGAATTCATGTTGTGTTTGGGTGATCCAGAGTTGCCGGTTAAATTTTATTTTTTTCAGGAAACTGACTCGTGGCTGCATTTATCCTGGATTATGGATGAAAGTCAGAGGCAAAATCCCTGCTCCAGTGTGGCAAAATCAGCTCCTTCTGAGTTTGTAAATTCTCAGTGATGACGCAACAACCAAAATAACCTTACAATGTTGACATATTATAAAATAAGCAAATTACAGATGGTAATTACAGATGAGTTAAGCAATGACACCGTGCTTTTTCAAGCTAAGGTGCAAAACGGGTGTGAGAGTAGGCATGCTGTTAAATAGGAAAACAAACAAAAAAAGGGTGAATTAACTCTTAATCGGTGGAAACCACATTATACTGAGTGATTTTAACATCAGTCCAAAACAAAATAACTTACTGCAAATGCAAAATAAAGTCAAACCTTTAACTACACAGGTGATGTAATGAAAATTTTACAACTTGGTTACTTTATTTTATACCTAAAATAAATGTTTTTGTTGAATGTGAACTCTTGCGTTAGAACTATAAGCATTCAAGTGTCAAAATATCGAGTCCATCTGACCCACATATTGGCAGAAAAGGCGAAAAAGCCTAAAAGAGAGTATTCACTTTTAAACATGGTACTCACAGCAGACGCTACGTAGCCTCTTCTCACACCAATTAATGACTCAGTCTGGAGGACAGAGCTCCAAGGAAGCCCTTCAAGTATATATATATTTTGTTCCTTTATCCCACTAAAATCAAAATGGTTTCTGCATTATTACCAAAACAGTGAACTTAAAAAAAAAACAAGATAAATGATAAAAACTAAAACATAAAATTATACAAAAAAGGTACTTAGGGAACGTTTCTCCACTTAAGGATCATAACTGCTTAAAAGTCCTGCAGGGGGCGCTGTGGATCTTATTACTGGAGATGAGGAACTTGGACATGAATTCTGAACAGAGGAGCCTCGAACCCCATTATTTCCACGTGTTTGCAGCCTGGGAGATTGAAGAACGGGAGGGGATCATGTCCAGCAGGTACTCCCTCTGACGAGCGTCCACGGTCGCTGAGGTCTTGTGACCTGTCAGGCTGGGGTTCACATAGGCCATAGTCACACCTGGAAACGCAACAGAGCAGCCGATCAGGCTGTGCAGCAAGCTGCTTGGTGCATAAATGCTTACTGAGTGGAGAGAGGAACAACGTCTGTAAAAACTGAATGTACCCATGTCTTCAAAACACACAGACATAAAAAGAACAGCGTTACTACTCTACATACACCCGGGAAGAATGTGAGAACACCAAACCAAGGAACTACAGTGGGAAAACAAGGATCAATTCCAGGAAAAAGACTGGAGAGAAGGGTTGCCTTGTCCAAAAACATTTCCTTTTACGTCCTCTTTTGTTTTAAATTAGCCGATCTTAAAATAATAAAAAATGAAGAATTTTGCGTTAATGTGTTTTCGAGGATTGCTTTGGGACCAGACAGGAATTGATAGAGAGGAGATGTCAGGCGCCAGAGTTGAACTGGTTTTAATGCGCGTCTACCTGCGCTGCTGTTGCTCTGCTTCTTCCATGCAGTGGATGAGGCACTGCCTCCGCTGACATTCTTGCCGCCGCCGATCCCACTGCTGCTCACCTTTGAACTCTGCACAGAGCGATGGGAAACGTGGGCATGCTTACCTGGCCGGCTGACCAAGGCTGCGGCTGCCACTGCACTTTGCAGCTGGGAGGAGGACGAAAAGGAGTGGGGGACCCCCCTTACACCTAAAGATGAGACGCCATGGGACAGACGGCCCTGCGGGGAGTTTAGAGACAATTTACAAAGCTGTTGACTCAAAAAAGTTTATCCTAAAAAGAAGGAAAGAAACCTTTCCAACCTGCTTGATGGAGTGATGATGAATGATGTTGGCTCCTCGGCTGGCCTGGTGGTGGTGCTGAAGGGACGGCACTCTGGCCTGCTTTAGCTGCTGAGATACCAGCTGCTCTGCCTTCAGTGACGAAGCAGCAGATGAAGAGGATGACGAGGTATTGTGAGTAACTGATGAGGATGACTGCTGAATAATACGCTGCTCTATTTCTTGCTCCTGCTGCAGTGCTTTGACAAATGCCGCTTTCAGCCTATTGGTATGCTCAGCTTTTAAAGCCTTTTTCTGATTGGACGACATGCAGTCTTCACAGAGCACTGTCCCGCCTTTAGCCTTGTCCTGCCTCCAACGACAGGTGAAGTCAGTATTGCATTGGGTGCAGATGAAAGGGTCTCTGATGAAGGTTTTTGACAGTGGTACACCTGTCTTTCCTGGATAGGGGGAAATGAAAAATATATTTAGCAAAAGTAAAAATCAAAAAACAATTAATGAAGAGGGAAAATGCATTCTGACATCCTAAAACATTATTGAACTAAAGATAGAAAATTTAGCTCATCGAAAATGCCAGGAAGACACAAAAGGTTGTCAAAACAACCGCCGTCTATATTCATCAATTAAAATTCAATATTCTATCAAATAATTGAAAAAAAAAAAAATCTAGAAAATTTCTAAATTAGTCTCAAAGTTACTTTGCTCCAAATATATTCAGTTTATGGTGAACAAAACCATTTCCATTTATCCTTTAATAGCTTACTAATCTAATTTAAATAGGATAACATAAAGACATACCACAGCAACTGTATAAATAAAAAAAATAAAAAAATACCTCTATGGATGGTATCAAGCAGATTCTGGACCACCTCCTCCAGCCCCACCAGGTAGATGAACTCGTTATTAGCTGCTGAGGGCAGAAAGTTGAACTCTGGGGCAGGTGGCTTGGGTGGAGGGATCTCCAGGAGGGTCTTCTCAAGTTGTTTCCGCAGGGCGAGTTTAGCTGCTGCTTGGCGGCTGGCTGGAGAGTCATTAACGCTAACCACAGACACGCTGCTTCCTGAGGAGGAGCCCTTCAAACCACTTTGTGAGGCCTTTGAAAAGAAGGCGAGACAAGAAAAAACACGAGTTCAGATAATCATCCAGATAGGTTCTGAACAATACAATAAACGTCCAATAGCTATTGGTGTTGAACTACAAAGAGTGTTTATGCTATCAAAAAAATTATTAAATGTGCAGCTATTATATTATTTATATATTTTTGTTTATCTGTCCCTCCAGTGAATAACAGTTAAAATCAAAACATTTTTCATTTTAGTAATTCATGCTTTGCAATTTGTTTAACGTTTCTACCACAAACCTGTCTGGGCACGCTACACAAACTAGCAAGCATTGCTAAATCTAGCAGATTTGCATGACAACCTGAGGTTTTCATGTTATTTTACATTGTCCCTTTTAAATAAAGATAAATGATCATAACACATAATTCTGGAGTCCAATTTCAAGCAAGATTTAACCATATAGTTGCCTGAAGTATTGCTGTAATGTTCAAATAAAAGGAATTCATGCATCATAACTAAATTTCTCAACAGTCCTGCTTTCCTTTTATTTTTGCGTTGGAAAAAAATACTCTTGAATTGCAAAAGTCAGCATAAATTTTGAGTAATCTTAAGTAAAAATATATGATTATCCTTTTAAGAACAGAAATTACAGTAATGCTGATAATCTAACCTTTGTGCTAATCCAACTTCTCAGGTTACAGACTTTACGTCAGCTGCTTAGGATGCTCTTTAAATCACACTCCAAATATTATCTCCACTTTTTGCCAATCAGTTCTCAGAAAAAAGTTGGTAATTGGTCACAGAGCCATATTTACCCTCGCAGTAAAAGTCAGACCACGTCATGAACAGAAGTCTGTTGGAGTCAGCCTCCCCACCATCACAGACATCTACACCTCCAGATACAGGAAGAGACTGAGGAACAGCTTCTACCCTGAAGCTGTTAAGAGTCATAAATCCCTAACTGGGAAAATCACTGTAATGCCACTTTATTTGGACATTTGACACTTTATCTGTGCTGCTGAATTCTTACCCATCTGCTCACAACGGACTCATGTTCAGGCTGCTGTTTAATACACCAAATTATATTGCTGTTTAGCATATATCTTAGATCCTTGTATACCGTTTCTTTTTATACGTTATATTCCTTTTTTTTGGGGGGGGGGGGGGGGGGGGGGGGGGGGGTTGTTGCTATTTTTGAGTGTAACTGGGACCTTGGGTACACAATTTCTTTCCACTTCATGTACCACATGTGATGCGAATGACAATAAAGAACCTTGAACCATGACTACTGCCCTGGTCTTGGCATCTCTGAAAGAGTGATCGCTGGCCTGGAGATGAGTGTAAACCAGAGTCTTGGCCTGATGATGTTGCTCTTCTGTGCTGGGCCATCCTTTTGGCCAGTGGCTGTTTAGTTTCCCCAATGTAAGATGGTCTTTCAGGGATGAAGATGTTCATTTCCTTGATAGAGAGGAACGATGGTTTGAGAGAGGAGTAAAGGAAGCCATCTTTGTGAAAAGAAACCGTCCATTATTAAAGAGGGGCAGAAGCCTTTGTGTTCAACTGTCCCCCTCTTACAATGCTGTTATTGCTAGTATCACTCAGCCCCCTGCGAATAGCGAGCGGCCATCAGGGTGCTAACGAGCCAATGTTAGGATGATGATCTTCTTTTAGCATGTGAACAGCTAGTTTTGAATGTCAACAACAAACTGGTCGATCCACTATGATAAGGTGCTATTCATAAGACTGAGCTGAATACAGCTCCTCAGACTGAACAAGTCTTTCGGATGAAAGATGAAACGTATCTACAATTTAAATTTTTTTGAACCGACCCAGAGGACCCGACAACTTTTTTAGATTTTCTACCTGGATTATTGAGCATGCATCAGGATATTCATAACCCTTCTGCAGAAACACACTTTAAAGTTTTCAAACTACCATTTTAAATGAGATATGAACAATCAGTATGGAGATATTCCACCAAGTCTTAAAATCATCACACAACTTTTGTCGTCTTGGCAACCAGCTGGCACTTTAATGAAACAAAAAAGTTTAAATCATTTGAATATTTGTGTTTAAGGTCACTTTTCATCCTTTTATGAAAACAATGTTACATATATATATATTTTTAGAATATTATAAACCGGAGGTGTGAAAACTCGCGTCATTTCCAAACAGCAGCTGTTTAAACTGCACACACGCATGATAATCGTGTGGTAGATGCTACACACGTAAAATAATTCACTAATAACCGAGCTCCTACAGCAGCAGTCATGTCTGGACGAACATGTGGCTTTGTTAGCAGTTCCAGTATAAACAAACAGGAGCAGCGTATATTAAGGCGCAGCTTGAGCTAGCTTCAGCTAATTTGTATAGTAGCCACTTACCAGGGACAACACTGATATCAGCCTCGCTTCAGAGGCAGCTGGTTTGGAAAAATATTCAAAAAGAGTAACTTGTTTTCTCTTCATTTTTAGTCTTGAGCACTGCCAATCCTCTACTGCTGCATGCGTTTCTCCACTTCCGTCAATACAGTTCTAACTTGTTCCCGCGACATTCCCAGCCAATCATACAGGAGCAGCTGAATAAGGAACCAATCACAAAGCAGTGAGCTGCGTGAGCTTTAGCTCAGCCAATGGCTGCGAGTCTCATTGAAACGGGAGGAAAGGGGCGGGGAGCAACAGAGGAGTAGTGGAGTTTGCAAAAACAAAAAGAAAAAGCGCTGCATAACAGACCCTACAAGCTTAACATACATGACATGTTGGATTATTGTGACTGCCTTGATGATTAAGGTTTAAGGTTTCTTTAGTGTCATTCGCGCCTCGTGTGGTACATGTGGTGGAACGAAATTGTGCACACAGTGTACCAGTTACATCCAACAAAAGCATAAATTGTAAAGAAAAACAGTAAGAGCTAAGATATTAACTAAGAAATACGCTAAACTAAGAATACACTAAGCACTAATAGTACAAAAACAATACATTAAACAACCGCAGCACAAACATTTGTGTGAGCAGATGAGTACAAATGAACAGCAGCGTGAAATAAATCAGCAGCATAAGATCAGCAACATGGATAGTCAGCAGCACATATCAACAATCAAGTGTAATTACAGTGATTTTTTTTTTCATCACAGTTGTTCCTCAGTCAAGTGGTTCTCTACACTTAATGCTCCTCAGCCTCCTTCCTGAGGGGAGCGGGGCAAAAAGTGAGTGTGCTAAGTGAGTGGGGTCCTTCATGATTCAGGTGGCCCTCTTCCTGCATCTAGAGGTGTAGATGTCTATGATGGTGGGGAGGGTGACTCTTTTCTTTCTGCAGCTGTGCAGCCTCCATGCCACACGTTGATGCTGGAGCACAGGATGCTCTCCACTGCACACCTGTAGAAGGAGGTGAGGACTGAGCTTCCCAGACCAGCTCGTCTCAGCCGCCTGAAGAAGTAGAGTCTCTGATGAGCTTTCTTGATCAGGCTGGTGGTGTTGTTGCCCCAGCTGAGGTCATCATTGAGGTTCACACGCAAGTACTTGTAGCTGGAGACCACTTCCACCACGTTACAATATGACAGCCTGGATGGGTAGGTGCACAGTCATATGTGAGCAGAGTGAACAGGAGAGGGCTCAGCACACAGCTATGAGGAGAGCCAGTGCTGAGGGTTATGGTGGAGGAGAAGTTGTAGCTCCTCGCAGACTGAGGTCTGTTTGTTAAGAAGTCCAGGACCCAGTTGCAAATGGAGTGGTTTAGTCCTAGTGCCCATCAGGGTTTGGGGGATCATGGTGTTTAAGGCAGACGTGAAGTCCACAAAGAGCATACGGGCGTAGGAGTCCTTCAGCTCCAGGTGAGTGAGAGCAGTGTGGACCACAGAGGAGATGGCGATCTCTGTTGATTGGTTCTCACAGTATGCGTACTGGTGAGGGTCCTCGCTGATGTTGATGATTGTTTTGATGCGGGTCATGACAAGTTTTTTGAAGCATTTAGCGACTATCTGGGTGAGGGCTACTGGTCGGTAGTCATTCAGACCAGTCACTGTAGAGCTCTTTGGAACTGGGATGATGGTGGCAGTCTTCAGGCAGGTGGGAACTGTTGCCAGGGTGAGGGAGGAGTTAAAGACGTCGTCTGGCACCCGTCGGCACAATCTTTCAGCACCTTCCCCAGGATGTTGTCTGGGCCAGTTGCTTTGTGAGAATTAATCCTCCAGAAAGTACTCCTCACTTCAGCCGAGGTCATGCTGAAAAATTCCTCTTCCGGTGGTGAGGTGAGTCTGGTGCTAGGTGGTCTGTTCGGGTCGTCAAAACGTGCATAGAACTTGTTGAGGGCATCAACAAGTTCTATGCACGTTTTGACGTGCCCATCTGCCTTTTTAATCTATTATATCCTTAATACCCCTCCACATGGGTCTTGTGAGGTGAATTGACCCTGGATCAGTGATGATAGTTTGATCTTGTTCCTTGATTTTTACAAGGCATTCGACACAATTGAACATGCTTTTTTGTTAGAGACTTTAAGGTTTTTGGGTTTCATTTTGTGGATTAATTATGTTTTATAATGATATCTATAGCTCAGTCCCTTTAAATCCTGGACTCACTTCTACATTTAAGATCCAGAAAGGCATTTGTCAAGGTTGTCCTAGTTCCCCAAATTTGTTTATATTGACTACTCAATTACTAGTCCTTCAAATGAATATTCCCGAGTTGCAGGGAATTAACATTTTTGATAGAGAATACAAGATTAGCCAATTTGCTGATGACATAATTTTTTTTGAAAAATGATTTAATGGTTGAAAGAGCCCTTAATATAATTTTGTTATTCTCTAGGGCTTCAAGTCTAGGACTTAACATTAACATGTGAGATTCTTCCCATTCATAATTGTATTCATAAAAACATTCAGACAATCAGGGTCATACATGAAGTTTAATATTTGGGTGGATTAAGAATGTAATTAGAAGGGAAGATGTTAACATCTCAGATTGCGTAGTAGACATGAAAAACGTCTAAGCCATTGGTTGAAAAAGGAATCCGACTACTTTTGGAAGGAACCTGTTGACTAAAGCAGACAGCATTTCCAAGACTGATTATCCGTCATTCTATGTATCTATCACCACAAAACATAAGGAAAGCCAATTCAATCATTTTTCAGCATTTGTGGAAAAATAAGACTCATTATATTAAAAATTCCCAACAAGTTAAAAAACATGAGAATGGTGGTATTAATGCATTGAACTTTGAAGCCATGGTTGGTACATTTAGGACCAAATGGCTTAAAACAGTTTTACAACAACAAAATTCAATGTGGTTTCATATAGAGCAATCACAGTTGGTAGGAAGTCAACATTTAGAAAAGACTGGTATGAAAAAGGCATAATTTTTGTAAAGGATACCTTCGATCGTCATGGAGACCTTTTAAATTTCCCATCTTTTGTTACAAAATATAACCTTAGCCGCTGTCAAAGATTGTTTTAGAGGCCGAGGAGGGGTAGAAGCAGGGCAGTCGACTCGGGACCCGAAAGTCCCAGGTTCGATCCCCAGCCAATACCACATGTCGTGGTGTCTCTGAGCAAGACACCCAATCCCTAATTGCTCCCCAGGTGCCTACACAACTGCCCACTTCTCCACCTGGGTGTATTCCAGGTGCGATAGAATGCAGAGAACACAGACAGTGATGACAACACATAGCACTTTACTTTACTTTAAAAAGGAATGTAAAGCAATCCCCTTAGCTTTGATTCAATTAATAAAAAATATTATTATACATTCAAAGGTGACTGTTTTGATGCCCACATTAAAATTAAACGACTGTAACTCAGTTGACTTCAAATGCATTAACAAGATTATCAATGAATATATGCGACAAAGGATTTACTGTGATTATAACAAAGACTCCTTCAAGAAACCTCCCAATATAAATCATAGAACCATTATGACTTCTGCTCATTCTAATTTGTCAAACAACCTCCTATGGTGAAGCAGAATCACTTTAAAACAATAAGTAAAATATATCCTGTAGCCATGTTTCTGCAAAGATTTAAAGTTGAGGTTGATTTGTGTGCCTTTTGTAAATCAGAAGAGGAATCCCTCGAGCATTTTTTTTTTCATGTCAGTACTCAAAGTTTTTGGTCAGACATCAGAAACTGGATTAATCTCAAACTTAACATTCCTTCTTTTGATGCTGATGCCATTTAATTTTATGTGGATAACCTAAGCTCAGCTTTCTCTGATGCCATACACATAGTTGTACTTATAGCAAAGTACCATATCCACTGTAGTAAGTGGAAGGATAATAATAAGTTTCCTTCCTGTTTTATGAACTAATTTAAGTCATACTATTCTTCATTAAGTAGATTAAAAAACTGGAAAACTGCTAGAATCATCTCACAACAGATATCTAAAAACGTATTGCTTTAAGTTTCTCATATAGTCTTGCTCCTTTGTGTTTTTATTATTTTTTATCTTTCATTATTTTGTAAAACCCGCTATCTTGTAAAATGTAGTTATGACACCCTTCACGAGAGTTTGTATTTGTATCTTTTTGCAGTGTTCTGTTGTTCTATATTCTGTTGTTAATAAAGTTCTAAAAAACAAAAAACACCACAAGTTAGCAGTTAAAAGCTGCTAACTTTCCAGGTTTAGTTATTCAAAATGGCATGTGACTAACCGAGAATCATTTTCATAATAAACAGCCCTTGACTAGCCTAACTAGGTGAACTTATTTTATTGCAGACATGACATTTTTCTGTGGTACTCTTTGAATATAACGTGCAGACAGGTGAATTTTTCTCAATTTTTTTTTGTCTTGCAATAAATGTGCCAAACTACCAAGATGTCAGCTTGATACCTAGAGTTTTCTAATCTCTCCCCCCTCCCCAAATAAACGACTGAGCTGAAGCCATTTTACTCATAACTTTAAAATAAACATATGCGCACGTTCATGATATTCCAACACCACGCTCGGATGATACGTTAGGGATGACCCTCAGCTTGAAGGCATTATTGAGCATTTTAGCTCTATAACTGTAAAACAGACTGAATTGTAAACATTTTTGAGTTGGCTGAAAATTTGTGATACAACAGATTCATTTCCCATGTGCAAAGTCAAGTTTTGCTGTACCCCATTACTTATAAATTTTAAATGAATTTGTGACAAAACTCAGCATTTTATATTTTGTATTTTGTGATTACATTTAAATTAAACTTTGATCTTGAATTAAATGTATGGAAAACGATGACAATTTTTTTTAAAACAAGGAAGGTACACTGTGAAATACCAACCAGCGCGTTTGCACTACTGCCGACTCTGATGAGGCCTGACTGGACCATCCCTCTCTGGCTCTGGGCTGCAGGGGCTGAGGTCCTGGGGCCCAACAGCAGAGGAGGTGGTCCTGATCCTGAACCCCCAGTGGCAGCCAACTGCTGCTGCTGCTGCTGTTGGCGGAGGGCCTGGATCTGCTGTGGAGACACAGAGATGGGCTAACCACGACAATGAGAGGGATGATGCGGAGTCGCATCACAAACAAAGGAAGTGGAGGACAAGGGGAAGGACATCAAAAGCACCAAAGCAAAAAGCACACACAGAGACAGAGGTGCAAAAAGAAATAAGTCCCAAATTGTAAGAATTCCTTTGCAAATCTTTTTCCAGACTTAACTGTCAGCAGTCAAAAAATATGTTAATAAAATTCACGTTTAAAAATGTAAACAAATGTAGATACAAGTTTTACTTTTAATACCAACTTTGCTTGCATGACTCACCTGGGCCCCCCTAACCAGAGGTGGCATAATGATCTGGGAGCCATGCTTAGACGACACCTGCTGGCCTCCTCTAACCAAAGGTGGAGGAATGACCGTGCCTGAACTTCTTCCTGTCAGAATCTGAACAGGTTAAAAAAATAAAAATAAAAATCAAACATGTATAAAATTCAGCATGTTTGTGCTTTTGAATCAATAATCTGCACAAATGCATGTGAGAGCACTAACCTGCGGAGAGCCTTTATTGCTTGAAATTGTTCCTCGAATAAGAGGAGGCGGTGCAGAGGAACTGGATAAACCTGAGGGCTGAAAAACAAAAAGAGAAACAAAAGTGACACACGCTGCTCAAAAAATAATCCTAAACCTACTCAGCAATCCAACAACTTGGCCATTCTGCTTCTGCTGACAATTCACACACACAATTTAATGGCTCTTCAAGTCCTTAAGCTTCTCCTATAAAGCAAACAAGTACCAGCTCCTGTATCTGCAGTTCAAAATAGTAGAGTTGCTGTCCACTTACACAATTACAGTCAGAGAGCTGGCTGAAAAACACTAAA